GGGCGTCGCAGACGTCCGAGGAGTAGGCGCAGAACTGGGCGTCGCAGACGTCCGAGGGGTAAGCGTAGAAGTCGTCGCATGCGACGAGAGATATGATAGTTGCAGCGAGCAGCAGGACGCCGCTGGGCGTTGATTCCGGGAACGAGGGTGCAGGCGTCGTCTTGGATATGGAGTGCGTCGAGCGCAGCACGACGGGCAGTAGCAGCGTGATGTTGCCAGGGCTCGCACGTCCCAGCTACCACTGATTTGCATGGCACGCGGTGCCGATGATCTTTATCGCTGCGAGCGCGGCTCGACCATCTGCTTAGATCTAAGGCCAAGGGCCCTAAAAAACTTTTGGGCCACAATAGGAGATGATAGAGAGGGTGAGAGGAGCAAGAGCAAAGCAGGACAGGAGAGAGGATGGCCAGGAGCGAGCTAGAATCACAATGAAGGCGAGGTCTAGGTTGAACCCGCGTAGGGCGTCACTGCGCTGGCCCTCCCAGGTGACCGCGACAGTAGCGACAGCTTTGCAGCTCTAGTTTGGATCCGCGCAAGACACCACTCCGCTTGCCCTCCCAGGAACCCACGATGGTCGCGACAGTCTCGCAGTGTGCAGCCCCAGAGGAAGGCGACGTTTGGTTTGGACGCGAGTCGGACGCCACTGCATTGGCCCTCCCAGGAGCTCACTAAAGCGGGCGGCAGTTTCGCAATTTGCAGCCCTCAGGGAGGGCGAGGTAAAATTCAGATCCACGTAAGACGTCACTGCGGTGACCATCCCACGAGCCCACGAACGTGGTGTAGATTTCGCACTACCTCTGGTTCGCGTCTGGCGTGAATGCGTTGGGCCTCCAAACAGCACGCGAAAGCGGCGATAGCTTCGCAATTTGCAGCCCCGAGGCAGGGCAAGGAATACGTCATTGCGCTGCCCCTCATAGGGAGCCCACAAACAGTCTTGCAGTTCGCAGCCCCGCAGGGGCGGAGAGGTCTAATTCCGATCTTCCGGATCCGCGTGCGACGTCACTGCGCTTGCTCTGTCAGGAGCACACGCAAGCGGCGACAGTTTCGCAGCCCCGCAGGGAAGGCGAGGACCCGCTTGATCCGTGTAGCATGGCATTGCGCTCCCCCTCCCAGCAGCTCACGGTCGTCCCGACAGCTTCGCAGTTCCTAGCCCCGCATGGAAGGCGAGATCCCGCTTGATCCGGGTAGGACGGCATTGCGTTCTCGCCCCCCCAGGAGCCCACGAAATTCGCGACAGTTTCGCAATTCTCGGCCCCACAGGGAAGGCGAGATTCCTCTCGCTTCGCGGGGTGCACGTCCGGAGCACGTACAGTCACGTCGTCGCGGGGCCTCTTGGGAGCCTTTTGGGGGCCTCCTGGAGGCCACCTGGGAGCTTCTTTGGGGCCTTTCCCTTTTCATTTTCATACACCCTCCCCATCTTCCCTTCCAGCGCCGGCTCTAATCATGGGCGCCGCAGTGACCAACTTCCACCTGGCTGGCGCTGCGCCGCAGTTCGCCCAGAGGGGGGGAAATGACATTACACTCCAGTCACTGTGTGGCCTTTGGGGCCCTGGGGGGCTTCTTTGGAGCCTTTTGGAGGCTTCTGGGGGGGTTCTTGGAGGCTTCTTGGGGGCCTCTTGGGGCCTCTTCGGGGCGTCTTGGGCCGTCTTGGCGCTTTTGCGCCGTTTCGCCCCCTCGGAGGCTGTCCTGGGGGCCTCTCGCGGCCGCATTGGAGCCCTTTGGGGGTCCTCTAGGGCCGTCTTCGCGGCCTCTTGGACCGTCTTGGGGGCCTCTTTGGGCCGTTTTGGGGCCCTCCTGGGCCGTCTTGGAGCCCTCTTGGAGGCTTTTTGTTTTGCTTTGGGGCGATTCTGGAAGCTGCTTGGACCGTCATGGATTTGTGAGAGTCGAAAAAGACGAGAACGCTAACATATGGCAAAAACCATCGGACAAATCAATGATTTCGGCCTCTGGAGGCGCAGTTGTGGGTGCTCTTGGGGCCCTCTTGGGCCGTCCTTGGAGCTTTGGGGGCCGTCTTGGGGGCCTCATGGGCCCCCGTTGGGAATATCTTGGGCCGTCTTGGGGCCGTCTTGGGGTCATCTTGGGCCATCTTGAGGCCCTCTTGGGGCCCCAAGAGGCCCAAGAGGTCGAATTTGTTGATTTGTCATAAGTTGTTATCGGTTTTTATAGCCCCGGAAGGGGGGGGGCCATCTTGGTCCGTTCATGTGGCGCGACTGCAGGGGGGGGTTAGGGGGGAGACATCATAATGCAACACAATACAGCATGTGGGAACTATGCAAACATTTGACACATTGGATCCACTGCATTACAGCATCCGCGGAAAACGCTGCCGCTCAGCACGTCACTTCCGGACGTGGATTCCTCTCGCTTCGCGGGGTGCACGTCCGGAGTACGTACAGTCAAGTCGTGGCCTGCACTTGGAGGCGCGCTGCGCCCAGTGGAGTTCGTGCGATGAGCCACGTGCTGCACCTGGTCCAGACCGTCAGCTGGCCGCTCAGTGCAGTCGTTGTGGGGCCTTTGGGGGGCCTCTTGGGAGACTCTTGGAGGCCTCTTGGGGGCTTCTTGGAGGTTTCTTGGGGGCTTCTTGGGTGCCTCCTGGAGCCTCTTGGGGGTGTCTTGTGCCGTGATGGTGCGCTTTTTTCCCGTTTCGCCCCATCGGAGGCCGTCTTGGGTGGCTCTCACGGCCCCCTTGGGGCTCTCTTGGGGTCCTCTTTGGCCGTCTTGGGGCTTCTTGGGTTGTTTTGGGGGGTTCATTGGGCCGTCTTGGGGCCCTCTGGAGCCGTCTTTGGGCTCCCGTGGGCGCTTCTGGGGCGGTCTGAGGGAAATGTTGGAAGCTGTTTGGGCCGTCTTGGGCCTCTGACAATCGAAAAAGGTTAGAACGCCCAAATCCTTCAAACACTTTTTTTGGAAAATCATTGATTTTGGCCTCTGGGTGCGTTCTTGGGGGTGCTCTCGGTGCTTTCTGGGCTTGGGCCGTCTTGGAAAGCTTTCTGGGCTTTCTTGGGCCATCTTGGGCCGTCTTGAGTGCGTTGTTGACCGTCTTGGGGCCACCCCGGGCCAGATGGAAACCTTCTTGGAGTCCCCAAAAGACAAAAAACGAAATTGATATATATATATATATATATAGAGAGAGAGAGAGAGAGAGAGAGAGAGAGAGAGAGAGAGAGAGAGAAAAAAAGAGAGAGAGAGAGAGAGAGAGAGAGAGAGAGAAAGAGAGAGAGAGAGAGAGAGAGAGAAAAAAAGAGAGAGAGAGAGAGCACCATAATTGGGGCCGTCACTTAGGTACGGCGTAGTGGCGCGACTCCAAAGGGGGTTCGAGGGGGATACATCATAACGCAAAAGAATACAACATGTAGCAATTTTGAATCATTAGATCCATTGGATCCGTTGGATACGTTGCATTTTCGGGGCCCCCTTGGGTGTTTCTTGGGCCTTCTTGGGGCCGTCTTGGAGGCTGCTTGGGCCGTCATGGGCTTCTGAGAGGCGGAGAAGGCGAGAACGCTAAACTCTGTTTGAAACAATAGGAAAATCAATGCTTTTGGTCTCTGGAGGCGCTCTTGTGGGCGCTCTTGGGGCCCCCTTGGGCCGTCTTGGGGCTTTGGGGGCCTTCTTGGGGCCATCTCGGGCCGTCTTGGGGCAGTCGCTGTGTGGCCTTTGGGGGGCTTCTTTGGAGCCTTTGGGAGGCTTCTTGAAGACATCTTGGAGGCCTCTTGGGGGCTTTTTGGGGCCCCTTGGGGGCCTCTTGGGGACCTCTTGGGGCCTCTGGGGGGGCGTCTTTGGCGGTTTTGGGGCGCTTTTGCGCCGTTTCGCTCCTTCGGAAACCGTTTTGGGGGCCTCTCGCGGCCGCCTTGGGGCCGTCTTGGGGTCCTCTTGGGCCGTCATAGGGGCCTCTTGGACCGTCTTGGGAGCCTCTTTCGGCCGTCTTGGGGTTCTGTTGGGCCGTCTCGGGGCCCTCTGGGGGCTTCTTGGGTTGTGCTGGAGCTATTTGCGAAGCTGCTTGGGCCGCAAAGGCGAGAACGTTAAAATAGTGCCCAAACCACAGGAAAATCAATGATTTTGGCCTCTGGAGGCGCAGTTGTGGGCGCTCTCGGGGCCCTCTTGGGCAGTCATTTGGGTTTTTTGGGCCCTCTTGGACCCATCTCGGACCGTCTCGGGGCCGTTTTGGCCCGCACAGAGCCCATTTTGAACCGTCTTGGCGCCCTCTCGGCCCCCCAAGAGGCCCAAGAGGTCGAAATCATCGGTTTTCTATAAGTTTTGGTAGGTTTCTGAGCCCCGGGAGGGGGGGGGGCACTTTGGTCCCGCGGTGTGGCGCAGCTCCCAGGGGGGGTTAGGGGGGGAGACATAATAATGTAACACAATACAACATGTGGCAAGTATGCAATCATTGGATAAATTGGATACGTTGCAGTAAGGCGTTCGCCGGAAAACGCTGCCGCTCAGCACGTCACCTCCGGACGTGGATTTTGTTGATTCCGCGAAGAGCGCCATTGCGCTGGACCTCCCAGGAGCTGACCAAAGGGGCCACGGTTTCGCAGTTCGTGGCCCCGCAGGGACCGCGAGGTCCCGCCTGACCCGCGTAGGACGTCACCGCGCTGGCCTTCCCAGGAGCTCACGACAGTGGCGACATTTTCGCAGTTCACAGCGCCGCAGGGACGGCGACGGCGCTGGCCCTCCCGTGAACTCACGAAAGTGGCAACATTTTCGCAGTTCGCAGCACCACAGGGGACAGCGAGGAGCTAGGAAGCAGGAAGCAGGATAGAGAGGGAAGCGGGAGGAAGAAGGAGACTGCAGTGCTCTATTCAAACCGGGAACCCAAGCCAGGATGGTGGACAAAAACAACGTAGGCACAAATGTTCGGAGGTCAGCCACGGTTCCTCGGATGTGCGCTGGACCCCCACCTGGCGGCGTTCCGCGCGCCAGGGAGGAGGGGCCCAGCGCAGTTCAAATAATCCTCGCGGACCTCCAAGAGTTTAATGATCGTGGAGCGGTGTCTTCCTCATGAGGAGCCTTCGTGTGACGACCAGTGGCGCTACCTGCAGTGCTCGATGGGCAAGGACTGGTGGCGAGCCGACAGGCAGGGCTGCGGCCCACAGGGCCTCACGTCATCGGTGATGTGCATGGTCATCGTCTGCATGTCTCCGCACATAGTGCCCGAACTGAAGCCGATGCTGCTGTTCTTGGCTCTCTTTGTGGCGGGGTACCTCGCGGCGTCTGCGACTTACCTCTACGCGACCGAGCTTGGGTATTACCATTGGGGGGACATCCTGGTCGTTGTGGGGTTGCTCGGTGCCGCCACCGTGATAGCTGCCTACAGGAAGTACAAGGTGGACGTACAGCAGCAGTACGCGGACTTGCTCTACCAGGAAAAGTCGGATGCCACTAAAAAGCTCCTCGACTTGCTCCAAGATTTCCTTCCAGACCACATAATCTCACGAATGTTGAGGCACCCGAGTGCCACCACCGCAGAACAGATTCCAAAGGCGTCCGTGCTGTTTCTGGTGATCACTGATTTCGAAGGTCACATGAGCCGGCGGACGCCGGATCAGCTATTGGACTTCCTAAACACCCTCTTCGGCAAGATCGACCGGATATGCTTCGACTGCCAGGTGACAAAGATCGAGACGGTGGGCGAGGAATACGTCGCTGCCGTCGGCGTGAAGCCAGAAGACTATGCGAACGGGGTTGACAAACACGAGGAGGTTCTAAACCGCCTCATCGTGGCGGCGCTGGGCATATTCGAAGTGCAGAAGGGAGGACTGGACGAGCCATTGACCAACGTCAAGTTCAGAATGGGCCTGCACACTGGCCCTGTCGTTGCCGGCGTGATCGGGCAGAAGTTGCCGAGGTTCCGCCTGTTCGGTGACACCATGAACACCGCTGCCAGGATGATGCAGAAGGGAGTCGACGGCGAGCTTCAGTTCGGGGAGGAAACCCGGGCGTGCATGCCCAGCTGGGTGCGGTGCCGTTCGAGGGGAAAGATCGAGATGAAGGGCAAGGGCCAGGTGGACGCGTATCTCCTGGACTGGTCGAGCCAGGACATTGAGGGAATCGTCTGGGAGGAGATCCGCTCCTACGGACTGCGCAAGTCCAGGCGGAGCAGTCTGGACAGCATCATATCGGTCAGCAACGACGGTTCTGACGATCAGGATACAGTGATCGGCTACCCCAGTACTTACACTCTGACCAGCTCGGACTCGAGGCTCACACGCGTGCTGTCGTCTTCTGTCCGCGGCGGACTGCTTCGCGGCGACGAGGGCGACATCGACTGGCTGCGGGAGTTCTACCACTTCCGCTTTGCGCGCCACCTGGGGCGGCGCTCGGACCGCCTCGCCGTCGTGGTCCTTGCGCTCACTGCGGCGGAGGCTCTTGCGGCAGAGCTGCTGCAGCGTGACATGGGGGACGTGCTGGGGGTGAGGCGGGTCTGGATGTTCCTGGCCCTGCGCGCCGTGCTGCTCGCGCTGATATTCCGGTGGCGCGTCGTCGCGCAGAACAAGGACTGGATTTTCCTGGATCCGACGGCGGCGGAGCGTTGGGGGTTGGCGTACGCATGCGCTTTGCTGATTCTGCAGTTTACAGCTTACTCCCTTCTCGCTGTGCCCCTCGTCCACGAGATCAGCATGGACTTGAGCGCCTCTCAGGCCAGGGCCAAGCTGCAAAGCGAGCCCCTTAGGGCACCCCTGTGGAAGTTGATGTATCTCTTGTGGTACGCGGTGAGCGTGATGGACATACAGCTACGGCAGAAGCCCACAGTCTACTTCGTGGCTTTCTCGTTGCTAGCGCCGCTATTTCTTTCTGCTGTGCTTCCAGCGTTACGCAACCTCACAAGCGCCGTGCAGCTTACCAGCATGCTCATCATGGGCCTGGTGGGCATCCAGATTGCCGGCGCAGACGAGCATCACGATAGAGAGCGATACAATGCGCAGATGCAAGTACGGTCTGCACAGCACCGCATGGATTCGATCTTGAGCCAATTGGTGCCCCCCTTGGTGGCAAACGAGCTGAACAAACGGCAGGCCTGCCAGAGTGTCAATATTTTGCACCAGGGCTTGAGTTGTTCCCACTCTTACCGGCGAGCCACCATCGCCTGCTCGGACCTTGTGGGCTTCACGGCGCTGGCAAGCACGCGTACAGCCACGGAGGTCGTGGAGATGGTCAGCGACCTCTTTGGGCGTTTCGATCGGCTCAGTGACGTCTACAGAATCTGCAAGATAGAGACGGTCGGCGATGCCTACATTGCTGGCCAGGCGGTCCGACCGCTCACATCGGTCTATAAGCCTATCAGCGTGGTCGTCTTCGCGGTCGAGATGATAGAAGCCGTAAGGAGCTGGTCGCGTGAGAGAGACATCCCTCTCGATTGCCGGGTCGGCGTCCACACCGGCGAGTGCGTCGGCGGTGTCGTCGGCGTGGAGATGAAGCGGCACTCGAAGAAAAAACACGGGCATTCAGAGGAATTGTTTCAGCTCCGCGCACATTTCTTGGATTTGCGATGAGGCCCCCTCCTTGGCGCGCGGAGTGGCGCGCTCCGCGCGCCAGGAAGGCCCAGGGCGGATCCAAGAAGCCTAGGCAGAGCCCCGACAGTTTATGTTTACGCTCTCTCGCCTGTCCCAGATCCGCTCAAAGCCGGTCCTCGGTCCCCTTCTGGGGTCGGTCCATCCTGACCCGTTTTTCGGGGCGGATCCAGCCGTGGCGGCGAGAAGCCCCCAGGAGGCTCGAAGAGGAAGAAGCGCGCCAGGGAGGGCCGCCGTTGCCTCGACGGGCCCTCCTCCCTCCTCCTCTGCCGCCGTTTGTTCTGGGAACACTTTTGGGTTCTACGAACATGGTAGGACTACGGGAGTGCCGGGACGGTCGGTCCCTGCTCAATCCTCCGAGGTACCACCTGTTCGGCCACCTCTTGTCGGCCCTGGAGCTGCTGGAGTCCACCGCTCCGACGGGGCAGGTGCACCTGAGCGGCGCGTGCCAGCGGGCCGTGGAGGCGCAGGCCTCTGCGGAGGGGCTCTGTGACGACGCCCTGGTCTGCGCCCCCAGAAAGGAGCTCGTCCTCACCACTTCAAAGGGGGACCCGGTGCTCTGGTCATGAGAAAATGCAGTGCAGAGCGAGTTGAGACAACGGTAGTTGGCCTTCGGCGGGCCCCCTCGTCGCCACGGCTGGACGCAGCTTGGAAAAGCGGTGCGCTTGGGCCTCGGAAGGGGTCCGGGGACTGATTTTGAGTTTCTGTTGTCTCAACTCGCCCTGCTCCGAGACATGTCGATACCGATGCTCTTCCATCGAGATGCGGGCCTTGCATTTGTCCCAGACATCCTGTGGTGTTGGGTCTTCGTTTTGAAGAGAGCGCCCCGCGTTCCTTCTCTTCCTCTCCTCCTCCTCCCCCTCCTCCCTCCTCCCATCCATGCCTGTGCCCTCCGCATGTCAAAAATCTAAAGGCTGCCGCCTCTGCCGCCGACCCCATTTGAGCGACGTATGTTTGATTCGTTTGTTGTCGGGGTCAGGGTGCTTTTCCGAGCACGGCAGAAAGGGCTCAGGTGAGACATCCAGGCCTCAGCCTTGCCCCGTGGACTCCTGATTCTCTGTTGCACCTCGGACTCCTCTCTATCGAATGGCCCTCGGCCCATCCCGCCACTGTGTCTGGGTTGTGGGTTGTGGGTGTGAAGCCTATTCGATGTTTGTGGGGATTTCGTGGGGGACCCTAAGGGGGCCTCTTGGAGGGGTCCTGGGACGTTTTTGTTGCATGGTGGGTGGCCTCCAAAACTCAGTCCTAGAGGCTCCAGAAGGCTGGCGGTGTCAGGCGCGGTGGAGGCGTGGTGGAGGCCTGGTGGGGGCAGGGTAGGGGAGGGTCCGGGGACGTTTTTTGCATGGTGGGTGGCCCCCAAAGGCTCAGTCCCAGAGGCTCCATGAGGCTGGCGGTGTCAGGCGCGGTGGAGGCGTGGTGGAGGCCTGGTGGAGGCAGGGTAGGGGGGTCCCGGGACGTTTTTTGCATGGTGGGTGACCCCCAAAGTCTCAGTCCCAGAGGCTCCAGGAGGCTGGCGGTGTCAGGCGCGGTGGAGGCGTGGTGGAGGTGTGGTGGGGGCAGGGTAGGGGGGGGTCCCGGGACGTTTTTTGCATGGTGGGTGGCCCCCAAAAACTCAGTTCCAGAGGCTCCAGGAGGATGGCGGTGTCAGGCGCGGTGGAGGCGTGGTGGAGGCGTGGTGGGGGCAGGGTGGGGGGGTCCTAGGACGTTTTTTGCATGTTGGGTGACCCCCAAAGTCTCAGTCCCAGAGGCTCCAGGAGGCTGGCGGTGTCAGGCGCGGTGGAGGCGTGGTGGAGGCGTGGTGGGGGCAAGGTAGGGGAAGGTCCGGGGACGTTTTTTGCATGGTGGGTGGCCCCCAAAAACTCAGTTCCAGAGGCTCCAGGAGGATGGCGGTGTCAGGCGCGGTGGAGGCGTGGTAGAGGCGTGGTGGGGGCAGGGTAGGGGAGGGTCCGGGGACGTTTTTTGCATGGTGGGTGGCCCCCAGAAACTCAGTTCCAGAGGCTCCAGGAGGATGGCGGTGTCAGGCGCGGTGGAGGCGTGGTGGAGGCCTGGTGGGGGCAGGGTAGGGGAGGGTCCGGGGACGTTTTTTGCATGGTGGGTGGCCCCCAAAGACTCCGTCCTAGAGGCTCCAGGAGGCTGGCGGTGTCAGGCGCGGTGGAGGCGTGGTGGAGGCCTGGTGGGGGCAGGGAAGGGGGGGGTCCCGGGACGTTTTTGCATGGTGGGTGGCATCCAAAGACTCAGTCCCAGAGGCTTGGTGGTGTCATGCGCGGTGGAGGCGTGGTGGGGGCATTGTGAAGGGGTCGCGGGACGCTTTGTGCATGCCATGGTGGGTGGTCCCCAAAGACTCAGTCCCAGAGGCCCCAGGAGGCTTGCGGTGTCAAGCGCGGGGAAGACGGGAGCAAGGTGGGAGGGTCTCGGGACGCTTTTTGCATGATGGGTGGCCCTCAAAAACTCAGTCCCAGAGGTTCCAGGTGGCTGGTGGAGGCGTGGTGGGGGCGTGGTGTTGGCGTGGCGGGGGGGTCCCGGCAAGGATTTTGCGGAGTAGAGCCGCCATAAGAACCTATGCCCAGAGGTTCCGGGAGGCTGACGGTGTCAGACGTGGTGGAGGCGTGGTGGAGACGTGGTGGAGGCGTGGTCGCGGCGTGGTGGGGGCGTGGTGGGGGGAGGGGTTCGGAGCAAGTGGAGCCTAGGCGGGGAGTCAGGATCGGGTCAGGGTGAGCAAATCTCGGGTGGGGAAGCCCAAGCATAGAGCTCCCAGAGGGTGGGGGATGGAGGCGTGGTGGGGAAGTCTCGGGACGGACATGAAGGGACGCGTGGTGGAGGGTCAGAGAGGGAAGTCCAGATCGCATTCTTGTAGGCTGTGCGCAGCATGGTGCACACGCCTCTGGGGTCGGCGGATTTTGGCACACCCCTCGCGAGGATCGTGACCCCATGGGGAGCTCCACCGAAGGCCCCAATGGCAGGGTTCGCGTGTCGGCCTCGGGCCATCTCGGCGCACCACTCACGAGGATCGTGGCCCCATACGGAGCTCCACCGAAGGCCCCAGTGACAGGGATCGCGTGGCGGCCTCGGGCGATTTCGGCACACCCCTCGCGAGGATCGTGGCCCTATAGGGAACTCTGGACGAAGACCCCAGTGGCAGGGTTCGCACGGCGATGATGATAGTGAGTGGAGTAGCCGTAACGAGGACTCCCCCCACACTTGAAACTGACAATTTTTGAGCATTTGGTAGAAGTTCTGCCTGAAGCATACCAGCTTCCAGCTCGCAAGCCGCAGCCATCATCTGAGAACGTTGTCGTTGATTCTGCGAAGTGTCCGAAGTGATCCAGCTTGACTTCGCAGTAACTCGTGGGACAGACGTCCAAACATTTGCGGAGAGGCCCCGCCGTCGTGCAATGTTGGTACGTAGGATATGATATGCAGTACAAGCCGAGAATAAGTGTCTGAAACTTTGCCACGGCGCCCCACAGTGTGAGCAGGGCCGTCCCGCCTGCCGCCTTGTCTCCGTCGAGACTGCGCCAGCCATGAGAACCCCAAGGGGCTTCTAGTCGGCGACGGAGAGAGAGTCTACAAAGATCTTGGAAGGTCTGCCCGAAATCGCCTCGACGTCGACTTCGTCGATCGCCACGGAGTTCTCGTCTTGTAACGGTACACTATCTGCAGGCACCGCTTACGGCGTATCGCTCGAAGGATGGGCTGCACCTGCTTCGCGTAGCGTTCTTCACCAGGGAGATGTGTCCAGAAACGCCCTCGCGCATCTGCTAGGCCATCAACCAAACGGTGCACATGGTGGTCGTCACCTACAGGAACTAGGAGGAGGCATCCGCGATCTGCTGACAAACGAATGAAACTGAGGCCTATGCTCTGCGCGTGGTTCACCATTGCCGTGTCTACGAACTGGGACCACATTAGCTTGACGTACTTGACTGTTTTGAAGGCCTAAGGCCTGGAGAGCGGCCGAACAGAATGGATAGTAGTGAACCCTCGTGCACCACCAGCGACCATGGCACCACCACTTGGCACCCGTCCGTTGGATTGCTACACGCAACTTCTTCGCCATATCGGCGGGGCAAACTGTCAGCAAGGGAAAACATCAGATCCATAGCGGTCGGATGTAGGACACTGCCCGACGTTCGCGAATTTTGATAGCCGTGTAGATCTTCTCCCACCCACCTCGTAGGCGCATGGGGAAGTCTGGGTCTGTCGGGCGGGCCACGATCCCCAGGTGTTCGATCAACTTGAGGGGGTCATCGTCTGCCGTCCACGTTTGTCTCTTGCCTTGATTCTCTACGAACCCGACCTCGCGGTCGAAGGTCGCCATGTATTGGAGGTCGTCCTGCAGGAGGTCGTTGTTGGCGGCAGTCAAGGAGCGGTCGTCCATGTAGGCCTGTCTGCTGACTGGCTGCCAGGGCGTCAGGCTGAGGACCATCGCCCCAGGTGCCACGCTGTCTCCTTGAGGCAGGCCGCGTTGAGGTCGAATAAGTGGCGCTACTGCGCCTGATGCGCTGCAATGTTGTGGACTTTTCCAGGCTGCCATCGAGGTGAACACGACCGAATCGGGCGCGTCTGCTGCTCGCAAAGCTGCTTCCCCAATCTGGTGATCAATGTTGCCGTATGCTTTCGTAAGGTCCAGTTCAGTTTCTGCATCAATTTGACTCGCCTGGTCAAGTCAGGCTGAGACCGCATGGACACAAGGGACGCCTCGCTTTCCAGCGCACTGGTTGTCTGGCCCATCGGGTAGACCTACCGAGAGGGCCGTCAACCAGCAGCGCAGTAGAATACTTCCAACACTAATTGGGCGTACGTCACATTCTCCTTTAGAGATTCCCACTAACCTCCAGGGGAAGACCACGTCCAGGCCGAACTGGCCACGCTGCTGTACACACCATCTGCTTGTCGCCACCCAAAGAGAGTAGGACTCCTGGACGAGCGTGGGGAAAGTTCGCTTGATCATCTTCAGCTTCTTGGAGCTCCAGCCGTCGAAACCTGGGCTGCCGTGAGAAAGATCAATTGCAACTTCACATGCTTCCAGCGAGGGATACCAGCCCCGAGGCTCGTATTCTTTGGGAACACCACGTTGCGAGACCATTTGGTCCACTCGCGAAGGTGATCAGCAGCTGGATGCCGGTGGGCACCATTGCTGTTCCCAGGTCGTTCTCATATCTGTAGTTTCCATGGGGGCTGTCGGTGACGCGCGTCGGAAAAGAGGAATGGCCAGCTTGTGCAGGTCCTGAGACCACGAAGCAAAACGGGCGCGCAACTCTTTGGACTTTTGTCTCTGATCTTCTGGTTCTCGCGAGTGATGCCTGACGAGAGCGACTTCAGGGTGTCGTAGTAGGTCGGGATACCCGTAGCTTTGATCTGCAACACCTCATCCCAAGCCGCCTGTGCCAGCCGACTGCGGCGTCGAGGGAGTAGTTGATCAGCTGGGCGGCCTGCGCCATCAGCACCGATGTGAGCCAGAAGCCGCGGATGCACGCGTAGTAGTCTGCGATCCAAGCGCCCATGGTAGCCACAGGTCTCATCGAGGGGGGAGAACCTTTCTTTTGTTCAGGTTGCCTGTCGATGATGGCGTAGTCGGCCTTCGCCAGCAAGTACATCGCTGGTTCAGCTCTCTCGCGTCACTGTCTCCACCGGTCCACCAGGGAGAGGTCGTCCAGCTCAGGGGAGTTGAGAGGGGAGATCTTGGTATCGAGCAGGTCCGCGAGCCTCTCCTTCTCCATGTCGTTCGGCATTTTTCCAGCACGTACGCGGCAGCGTGGTGAAGACGCTGGCTAGCTCGTTGGTAGGTTGGGATGTTCAGTCGGTACCATACCAGCCCGCGGTGAGGAATACCTGGCACTAGAGTCATCCCTTCACAGTGTGGTGGCGTTACTTCCAGTGCTCCGAAGAGGAAACACCGCGTTGGAATCGTAGCTTGGGTAGACGTCGGGATGAGGCCAATTGCCTCAGTCCATCCAGGTCTAAAAAATGTGTCGGTAACCCTCCCTCCAATTGAGACCGCCAGCAACCATTGTCTGGTGTCCGTCAATCGAGACAGAGCGGATGCAGGTCTCCAAGTCGGGATGCAGGTGCACTGTTGGCTTCGCGGTCCGACCCAACGGTATCGCAGGGCTCGATCTTGCCCAGCCTCTGGCGCCAGAGTGCGGCCGCGCCACCGTGCCCGACGGCGAGCGCGGCAGAAGGTGGGCGAGGGGCCGAGCAGGCGCATCCCCAGCCGCGCTTCCTCGCGTGTTCCAGGATCTTGGCATCGCTCGGACGTGTGCATGTTTCCTTCGGCGAGGACCATCGAGGAGCATCCTTGATCACTTGGCGAAAAAACCACGCACGAAACTGAACAAAAGCACAGGGAATGGACGTCCGAGCGATGGCGAGGGATGCACCTCGGCCCTTCCGACGGCCAGAGAATCTCCTGCAACGCGATTGCGTCGCCGTCTGGGCCCGCGCGGTCCAGAGCAGGGCTGGACCTAAACGGTGTGTTTGGTGATTTCGTGGGCCGTTGTCGTTTCGATTTCGTTCTGCGGCAAAGGCGGACTGAAGACGAAACGAGGGAATCGCGTCGATGGTCAGAAGGCGGCGGCTGGCAGCCACTGGCTCGTCTGAACTTTCGCCTCCACCTGCCCGCGGGAGGTCGTTTTGACTTGGCATTTCCGAATCCGTCGCCTGCCTCCCCTCGAGCACTTGAGGTCCGCAAGGGGGAACGACTCCACCCCGGGCGACCTGGCGAGATGGACAGGTGGCGGCGGCGACGTGGCGAGGTCCTCCAGCGGGCCAAACGTTCTGACATAGCATTTCCGAATCCAGCGCCTGCCCCCGCCCTCGAGCACATGAGGCCCGCAAGAGGGAGCACCTCCGCCCAGGGCAGCCTGGCCAGAGGGAAGGGCGGCAGTGGCGACGCGGCGCGGTCCTCCAGCGGACCCGACATTGATGAACATGTTTGACGTAGCTGAGAACACATGCCCACCAAGTAGACATCTTGGCTCTTCAGCAGCTTGATGTGGCCGTACTCGCACTGGTGCATGCGCAGGAAGGGATAGTCACGACGAGGCTGTCGGTGGGCGCCTCGTCAACCGACGTCGTTCCCGTTCCCGCTGAGCGAGTCGTTCTTTGTGGGTTTTGTAGCGGTCTCGCGCATTTTTGGCATACCTCGCACGCATGCCCAGTTTGTTCATGTTCTCCCTCTGTTTGTTGGCGATGCACTATTTGATGCCTCGCTTGTCCCGCCAGGTCCTCGCTTTCTGCTTGGCTGACGCGCACATGCGCTGAAACCTCTCCTCGCCCATCATGCCAGCCAGTGCGTCGATGGTCTTGAGCTCTTTCTTGTTTTCTCGTGCCGAGCAGATCTGTTTTTTCATGTCCACGAGGGTCCGTGACTTCCCATATCTTTGGCAGGTGTAGTGCGTAGTCCGTGGACATCTGGCCCAGGGATACAGCCAGCACGCTGGCACTGAGGAAGCAAACGTTGGAGCCATTCAGGCCTTCGCTCTCTCGGCCTCGGTACTCGCCGCGATTACGAGCTGCATGGTGCAGAGTCGCTGCGCAGCGGGTGCCTTGCCTGGGGGAGTCTCTCCCGAGCAGTAACGCCAGTGCACGCGGGCCTCCTGGGCCCTCGCACACGCTGTAGCCTTCGCTGGTCCCCATCCGCACCTCGGGCAGTGAAGATGGGCTGCCGTGTCGTATTTGCCGGGGGTCTTGTGCGCAGGGTCGTCGTCGTGGTCCAGGTCGCCGAACAGGCTCTCGAAGTCCGCGTCGGGTTGTGCTGGCGCTTTCGATGTTGGTCGACGTGCGGATCCACGACGCAAGGACATCCCGTCATGGATGACATTCTGACGATGTTGGAATAGCACGTGGGCTAAATTTCTACGCTTTCGGAATAGCAGCGAGCACAGTAAATGTACTTTTTGCTGGAAGTCCCACTAGCGCTTGAAACAACATGTGTCGCTGGCAGATAAATATGCGGTGGCGCGGACGTTGTGAGAGCACCTGCGCAAGCAATGCAATGACCGATGCATATATTATGCCCTGCGTTGGTCAAGCCGGCTATTCGATGGACAAATCCAAGCTGCCCAACCCGCGATGGGCCTTTGGAACCAAACCAAAAATAGCCTGGCTTGACCCGTGCCGTCGCATTGGTCTTGGCGCTGCCAGGTGAGACTGTTGCTGCGGGTTGCGCCATATCTTCTTCTGGTAGAGGTTGATGACCTGGTAGAGGTACTTGGTCGGGATCGCACCGTTTTTCCCAGGTGTAAGTAGTGCTTCATTCTTGAAACGGTAGACCGTGGCCCCGTCTAATAATAGTACCTCCACGGAAATGTACGTGCCCGAGCACTTGGCCCATGTCCCCGTGGCGCTCCCTGACCTCGCGGAGGTGCTGGACGAAGTGAGGGTCTGGCCCGCTTCCGCTGAGAGTCATGGCCTTGCCGATTAGACTGTAACAGCCAAACATGTCTTGCCGTCTGCCTCCCCCCGTCCTCCCCCGTCTGCCTCTGCCTCCTCCCGTCCTCCTCCTCCTCCTCCTCCTCCTCTTCCTTCTCCTCCTCCTCATCATCAATCACCATCGCCATCATTTTCATCTGCCTCCCCCCGTGGCCCCCTGTCTGCCTCTGCCATCATGCTCATCATCATCATCATCATCATCATCATCATCATCATCATCATCATCATCATCGCCGTCACCATCATCACCATCATCATGACCATCATCATGACCATCATCTTACCACATGGTGACGATGGCGAGGACGTAGTAGGGATATGGTGATGACGATGATGAGGAGGTGAGGTGATGGTGGATGATGATGATGGCGATGACGATGATGATGATGATGATGATGATGATGATGATGATGATGATGATGATGATGATGATGATGATGATGATGATGATGATGATGATGATGATGATGATGATGATGATGATGATGATGATGATGATGATGATGATGATGATGATGATGATGATGATGATGATGATGATGATGATGATGATGATGATGATGATGATGATGATGATGATGATGACGGTGATGAAAAACCGAGTGAGTCAGTTGAGGTCCAAAATCCCGCCCTAAAGACAGCCAGTTTTGGGGCTGCCACACCCCGCGCACTGCGAGACTTGGCGCCGTCAGGTCTGGGTTGCGTTCGCGTGGTAGCTATCGCCAGAGATAGCAGAATCTTTGCAGAAAACAACAAGTAACGTCGGCCGCAGCCCTCGACGCAGGGAAGCCAGCCCGAATAAAAGACAGTGGCGCCTGCTCGTCCTGATAATAACTGTGATATGCAGGAAACCTCGTTCAGTGCCCCATCGCTGTAGCCGACGTGCGTCACTCCAGTCTGGTGGGGCTCGTTCTACACCCCATCTCTGCAGCACATCCTGGGAGCCAAGGATTTTGCCAGACAGTATACCTATTGCAGCGTCGTGGGAAGGACGGTCGACCAGACGGCCTTCAGCAAGCACCGCGACCGTCGTAACCTTGGTGAAGTAGGTGTCCGCGTCCTCGTCTTCTCGTAGTTTGAACCATCTCGGGGTGATCGTCGTCCTCTGCAGGTTGAGGAGTATCCCTTTCGATAAGGGCAGCAAGGCCCCACCGAAGGCCCCAACGGCAGGGTTCGCATGGCGGCCTCGGGCGATTTGTGGCACACCCCTCACGAGGATCGTGGCCACATAAGGAGCTCTGGATGAAGGCCCCAGTGGCAGGTTCGCATGGCCTCGGGCTATCTCTGCACACCCCTCACGAGGATCGTGGCTCCATAGGGAGCTCAACCGACGGCCCTAGTGGCAGGGTTCGCATGGCGGCCTCGGGCGATTGTGGCACACCTTCGACGAGGATTGTGGCCCCATAATAAACTCCACTGAAAGCTCCAGTGGCAGGGTTCGCATGGCGGCATCGGGCGATTTCGGCACATCCCTCACGAGCCCCATAAGGAGCTCCACCGAAGGCCCCAGTGACAGGAATCGCATGGCGGCCTCGGGCGATTTCGGCGCACCCCTCACGAGGATCGTGACCTCATAGGGAGCTCCATCGAAGGCCCCAGTGGCAGGGTTCGCATGGCGGCCGCGGGCCAAGTCGGCGCACCCCTCACGAGGATCGTGGCCCCATAGAGGGCTCTGGACGAAGGCCCCAGTAGCAGCGCCTGCATGCGTCCCCCGTTCATTTCGGCACCCCCCATGCACGTTTCGGGGCTCCCATCCGCGTTGCCCCGAGCTCCATCCCTCTCGCGGCGCGCTGCTCATGATAAGAGGGGCATCTCTTGCAATACCCGCAGCTGCACATGGTCGGGTCCTTCGCCAGGCTGATGTTCACAGAGGGTGTGTTCGCCAGATGATATGCCTTGGGACGGAGAAAACATCGGATCTCAGGGACGAGCATTCCGATGCCGATGCCAGTCCCTCGTGTTCGCTTGTTTTCCTTGCCTCCTAAAGGGGCCCCTCGGCGCCACGGCTGGCTCCGCTCCTGGGAGTCCTAGCCAGCATGCGCCTGCGAGAGGTCGGGGGCGCGGCGGCGTCGGCATCTCTCTGCCGCCCCAGGTGTCGTACCAGGACATCGGGGGCGCGCCAACTTTTGTCGTGCAGCACTGCAGCCCGGAGCTGTACGACCCCGAGGCCGAGTCGGACAAGGTCGGCGGCGGCCCAAGGGGGGCGGCCTCCCTCGCGCCACCTCCTTCGGGGCGCCGCCAACAAGGTGAACGTGTCGGCGTCGACGAGCGTCAGAACCCACGCTCGAAGCGGGTCTGCCAGCGTCCCGCTCGGCACCCGCGTTGTCAGCGGAGATCGCCTTCCCCCCGCGGTGGAGCAGCCCGACTCCGAGCGACCTGACCATGCATAGCTGAGCCGCCTGGCGTGCCTGGGCCCCTTCGCCGGAGAAGGAGAAGAGCACAAGCAAGCAGTGTCGGAGGTCCGCATGGATTTCTGGGATCGGCGCTGGCTCCCCCTGACGGCGCCTCCGACGCCGCCCTTGGCTGCTCCGCGCGCTCAGAGAGGGAGGGAGCCAAGCGCCGACTCAAGGCATCTGCGTGGACCTCCGAAAGTTTAGACTCATGCCTTTCGAGATCCGTCGAGCCCCTGTGCCCCAGACCTTTCCTGGTGTGCATTCTGGCCAGAATCCCTATGACAACCCAGCCGGGGCGACGAGAGCTCTCCAGGACGAGCAGCGGATCCGGTATTGGTATTATTCTGATCTTGCCCATGCTGGGCATGAAGTCTCCCCCCCCCCGTCCTGGCCGTGGCCCTGCTCTGGGACCTGGCAGGGTGTTGAGCCGTGGCACGGCTGGCACCCGCAGAGCGCCTTGTGTGCTCGTTTCTTCGTCGAGCTGGCGCCCGATGCCGCTTCTGTACTCCCTCTGATCGTGGAAGGGCCAGTCGAGACACCCTGACATTTGGGCACATCGATCTGGCTCGGACCGCAGGAAGATGGGTTCTTCGGCTCTGGCATTGTTGTTCTGCGATAATGCATTTTTTCGCCCGGCCGATTTGGCCCGCCTGGGCGGGCGCCGCCGCAAGCGTGGCAGACCAGGAAATACTTGGACGCGTTGAGTTCTTGGCTTGGCGTGCGAAGTAGCTGGCGGTAAAGACGCCCTGCACCAGATCTGGCAGGAAGGCCGGCTGGCATGGCGCATCCGCGCAAAGCGCTTCTGCCTTCAGCCGCTGTAGCTGTTTAGCCCCCTTCCTCTGTCTCTCTCTCCCTCCTCCTCCTCCTCCTCCTCCTCCTCCTCCTCCTCCTCCTCCTCCTTCCCTTTCCCCTCCAAGCTTGCGTGCTCGCTGTTCCATCCAATATTCTCCGTTTCACCCTTGCTCTGCAAACGCACCATGACGTGCACGGCGTCTGTCCGTTTGTCTATCTGTCTGTTTGTTTGTCTGTTTGTCTGTCTGTCTGCCTGTCTGCAATTTTCCGCAACGTCGGATCTCAGGTCGCCTTTTTATGGGGTCTCCTGGAAGGCTCTCATGGCTACTGCGCCAGCTTGAAAAAGCCGTTCAGGACGGAGTCCGGGAGGGGTCTTGGGATCGACTTTGAGCGAATTCGGGCGGGGCGGGCGATGCAGGTCACAAGAATCGGAGGTGAGGGGGTGAGATCGAAGTGGAACGGAGAGCCCCCCTACCGGGAAATCGGTTTCGGTTTCGTGTTCGTGCGTGCTGTGCGTGCGGGCGAGGCGAAGCTGCGTGGGCGGGCGAGAAGAAAGTCTCCTCCAGTTGAGGCGCGGCCGGACCAAATGACTCCTTCCGGCAACCGGTGCCGCGCGGTGTCCCGCCGGTGTCCCGCCTCCGGCTGAGGCGCGGCCGGACCAAATGACTCCCTTCGGGCGGCCGTTGCCGCGCGGTGTCCCGCCAATGTCCCGCCGCTGTCCCGTCGGTGTCCCGCCGGTGTCCCGCCGGTGTCCCGTCGGTGTCCCGATGATGATGATGATGATGATGATGATGATGATGATGATGATGATGATGATGATGATGATGATGATGATGATGATGATGATGATGTTGATGAGATGTCGATGATGTTGATGGTGATGATGATGGTGTCCCGATGATGATGATGATGATGATGATGATGATGATGATGATGATGTTGACGATGTTGATGATGATGATGGTGATGGTGGTGATGATGATGGTGTCCCGATGATGATGATGTTGATGATGATGTTGCTGATGATGATGGTGGCCCGATGATGATGATGATGATGATGATGATGATGATGATGATGATGATGATGATGATCCTAATGATGATCCTAATGATGATGATGATGATGAGACGATAATGAGATGATGATGATGATGAAGGTGATGATGATGGTGTCCCGATGATGATGATGATGCTGTTGATGATGATGATGATGATGGTGTCCGAAGATGATGATGATGTTGATGATGATGACGATGATGGTGTCCCGATGATGATGATGTGGATGATGATGACGATGATGGTGTCCCGATGATGATGATGATGATGATGATGATGATGTTGATGATGATGATGATGATGATGATGATGATGATGGTGATGTTGATGCTGAGGATGATGATGAGGTGATGATGGTTGTTTTGATGATTTTGGCCCGATGATGCTGATGTTGATGATGATGATGGTGTCCCGATGATGATCCGTAAGGGCTTCGCCCCCTGCCGCCGGCCCCCTCTCTCGGAGAATGGGCCATGGAAGAGCTAAGTCATGAGGCCTTGGCGCTGTCGTGAAGCAGTATCGAAACTTCATGCGAAGCCGATTCGCAATCAGCAAAACCAACTGATCACAAGAGGGGTTACCACACCTGGCGATTGGTAAGACGTGTATGGTTTACGGGCTTGGTTACCACACCTTGCGATTAAAGGGCCGAGGGAGTTCTCGCAGTTTGGGTTACCACGCCTTGCGATGGATGTGCGTGAAGGGTGGCACCGAATTTCAGAAATGTGGCAAATCCCCTGTGTTTTTGGACCCTGACCCCGCGGATCTGCGTGAGGGGTGGCACCGAATTTCAGAAATGTGGCAAATCCCCTGTGTTTTTGGACCCTGACCCCGCGGATCTGCGTGAGGGGTGGCACCGAATTTCAGAAATGTGGCAAATCCCTTGTGTTTTTGGACCCTGACCCCGCGGATCTGCGTGAGGGGTGGCACCGAATTTCAGAAATGTGGCAAATCCCCTGTGTTTTTGGACCCTGACCCCGCGGATCTGCGTGAGGGGTGGCACCGAATTTCAGAAATGTGGCAAATCCCATGTGTTTTTGGACCCTGACCCCGCGGATCTGCGTGAGGGGTGGCACCGAATTTCAGAAATGTGGCAAATCCCATGTGTTTTTGGACCCTGACCCCGCGGATCTGCGTGAGGGGTGGCACCGAATTTCAGAAATGTGGCAAATCCCTGTGTTTTTGGACCCTGACCCCGCGGATCTGCGTGAGGGGTGGCACCGAATTTCAGAAATGTGGCAAATCCCTTGTGTTTTTGGACCCTGACCCCGCGGATCTGCGTAAGGGGTGGCACCGAATTTCAGAAATGTTTCAAATCCCTTGTGTGTTTTCGACCCTGACCCCGCGGATCTGCGTGAGGGGTGTCGATTTCGAGCCCCCCCAGCAATTCAGACAACGCGCCCAGGGGACGCTAAAAAGCCACTTTGGGCCTCCCCCCCCTCGCGCGGTCAATCAGTTACAGTAACCAGCAATAAGTCCAGTAGTTACAGTAACCAGCAAGAAGCAGAACTGCAACACTGGAAACTACAACATACGACTGGTACAGGAAACTGCGAATCACGGGACTACAGCCTGGTGGCCCCAGATTATGATGATGGTTACGATGATGATGGTGTCCCGATGGATGATGATGTTGATGATGATGATGTTGCTGATGATGGTGGTGTCCCGGTGATGATGATGTTGATGATGTTGTTCATGATGATGTTGACGATATGATGGTGGTGATGGTAGTGTTCCGATGATGATGATGATGATGATGATGATGATGATGATGATGATGATGGTGTCCCGATGATGATGATGATGTTGATGATGATGGTGACGATGATGGTGTCCCGATGATGATGAAGATGACAGTGATCATAATGTTGTTGATGATGGTGATGAGGTGATGATGACTGTGCCCCGATGATGATAATGATGATGATGCTGATGTCGATGACGTTGATGACGATGATGTTGATGATGATGATGATGACGTTGATTGTGAGATCGAATGTGATATCGGTAGTGAGATAGATAGTGAGACCGAATGTGAGATCGATTATGAGATCGATAGTGAGATCGATTGTGAGATCGATTGTGAGATCGATAGTCAGATTGATTGTGAGATCGATGGAATGAAATAGATCGAGTGAGATCGATTGTGAGATCGATCGAATGAGATCGATCGAGCGAGACCGATCGTGAGATCGATAGTGAGAGCGATAGTGAGACCGATCAAGTGAGACGTTGGTTCCTCCCCCCCCCGAACCTCCTTATCACCCGAGGGGTGGTCGTATAGATATGCACCACCCCACGTCGATTCCTTCTCCCTCCACTACCCTCTTCTTCCTCTCCTCTCTCCTGGGGGAGGGAGGGGGAGAGGGAGCTGGTGGTGGTGCAAATGTTTGGGCCCCGTAGGAGAGCCGTTGTGGTCTCAGCTGGCCCTCCTCCGAGTTCTCGAGCGCTGGACCGGCAGCTCAGGTAGAACCGTCGCCCCTTGTGATGGGCTCGTTTTCTACCACCACCATCACCATAAGTTGGAGGGGGAGGGGGTCCTCCTCCTCCTCCTCCTCATCCTCCTCCTCCTCCTCCCTCTCCTCCCCCTCCTCCTCCTCCTTCCCCTCCGTAGCCATTTTGGCTCAAGTTCGAAACCTTGCCGCGAGGCTTCGAGCTTGTCCGCAGCCGTGCGGCAGGCTCGGACGTTTTCGGCCTGTGATCCTGCCTTTGAGGCTGCCCGCGCCTCAAGAGAGTGCCTGTCGGACCGTTGAGTCTCGCGCGCGCGCGAGTCATGGGATATCTGGTCTGTCTCGTCTGTCGCGATGCTGGCAAGACTTCTTGGATCCCCGACACCAGCCCCCGCCAGAAGTGCAAGTTCTGTAACACCCCTTTTCCTGGCCGCTCCCGAGGACAGGGTCCAGGAACGTATGGTCGCAAAAGCGACAAAGACGGCAAAGGCAGGAGCAAAGGCAGTGGCAGTGATCGTGTCTTGTCTCCTCCCCGTGCTCGTGCTCATGGTCGTCATGCGTGCGACGGTACTGCCACTCCCCCAGTTCGGTCTTTGGATGAACGTCTCCAGGCTCCATTGGAAGAGGAGGTGCAGGATAGATTCGGTGATGATTCTGGCGACGACGGTCTTGGCAGTGATCGTGGTTTTTGGGCTGATTATGTTGACGACGACATTGATGCTGATGGCGGCTGTGTCGACACCAATGGCAATGAGCCCTCGGTTACACAGATTGATCAGATTATCGAGGCCTTGCAGGGCCAGTTGGAGTCCCTTCGCTTGCTTCCGCCAACCAAGTACGTTCGGGATCAGGTCTTGGGTCTCCAGGATGAGTTGCAGCATCTTCGTGCACAAAAGTCTGACTTACTTACAGTTCCCCAGAAGCGTGCATTCTATAAGCAGCGTCACCGTTGGGCCAGTAAGAAGTTTGACAAGATCTCTAGTCAGATTCGTGAGTTCGACCGCATGATTCTGGACCCCCAGAGCGACAGGGATGCCCTCTATGCCCGTCAGGAGCGCGTCGCCCAGGATATGGCTATGTGGCAGTCTAAGTTGCAGGATCTCCCTTCGAATGAGCCAGTTCCCGAGGGTGACGCACCCCCAGATCTGTCAGCCGTTGCGGACGTCTTCGCAGCTTCCCAGGCAGTTCAGAGAGACAAGAAGCTTGCTCAGGCGTTACGTGACCTTCAGGGTATCGTTATGTC